GTATTTTAACTGGCTGGTCATCTTTTGTATCCCCAGTTAAAGAAACAAAACCATGCATAACAAATGGTTTGAAACAGGGATCTGGTTCATTCCCTTTATTTTCAGACACAAGGTTGCTGGAAAGTGGCACATTTTTGAGCAAACCCATCTCCTTTGTTTGTGGTGACACATGTTTTCTTTTCAGTGTCAAGCAATCAGCAATGACATGACCTTTTCTGTGACAATAGAAGCACTCCTGTGCCTCACGTGAAGGAAATGGCTTCCGTCTGGTCTCAGGCTGAACAACTTCAGGTTTTGTTGGACGATTGATCAGAATCTTATCTGAACGAGGAGAAGACACAAACACATTTTTATGTGTCAGTATGAACTCATCAGCTAAGATRGCTGCTTTTGACAATGAGTCAACCTTTTGCTCATTTAAGAAAACCACAATTTTCTCTGGCAATGTATTTTTAAAATCTTCTAACAAGATTAATTGGCGGAGAGATTCAAAGTCTCCTTTAACTTCATTAGCAGCACACCATTTGTCAAAGACTACTCCTTTTTCTCATGCAAACTCTACATGTGTTTGACCACTGGACCTCTTGTGATTCCTAAACTTTTGCCTGTAGGCTTCTGGCACAAGTTCATAAGCATGCAATATAGACTCTTTCAACACATGATACTTCATGCTGTCTTCAATAGAAAGAGATGAAACAACTTCTTGAGCCTTACCCATCAGCTTACATTGCAGAAGCACAGCACACGTCTTTAGGCCAATCTAGTGCTGTAGCAATCCTTTCAAAGGCATTAAAATAGGAATCAACTTCGGTCTCTCGAAATGTTGGGACTAAAGCAATATTTTTACTCACATCGAATCTGTTTTTATCTGGTGACACATGCATAGAACCAGAGTACACAGATGAGCTTGGAACAGTCTGGATTTTTGAAAGCCTCAAAGCATCCACTTCAAGCTGTTTTAATTTTATCTGCTTCTCAGCTTCAATCTCCAACTGGCRAATCTGGAGTTTGAGATCAAACTCTGCTTTACGCACTCTATCCCTTTCCTGGGCTTCTAATTGAAGGCGAGCAAGACGAACCTTAAGTCTGGCATTACCACTGGATCCACTGAGGTTTGGGGACACAGGGTCAAAACRAGGTAGTGTCGCAGGAGGCACCTGAGGTTCCACCGTCACTTTTGGAGGAGTCACCATGGCAGTAGTTACTTCCCCTTCCACAGGTGGGACACCTAATTCAACAGAAGGAGCACAATCATCAAAAACATCCGGACCAGTCTTACTTGGGTCCCCAAGGATTTTTAGTTCAACTAATTTCTGCAAGACTGTATTTTTAATGTTTATTTTAACATCCTGCTTCTTCACAGGAATGTTAAAATGTGCAGCAATACACAACAAGTCATCCTTACAACAAAATTCAACCTTCTCATAACTAGGTGCACTAACAAAATCATGCAGGTCAAAACTCATTTTTACACACAGTTACAACTACTTATCTATTAATGTGATTGTCTACAGCTCAGGGAAAAATATCCCGGACGAGCCCCCACTTGTGTTACGACCCCTTCCT